CCGACTGAGCTACCCGGGCATATGATTAAACTGCAAATTATAACACTTTTATAGTTTTCTCTTAAAATAATTGTGGGAACATTTTTTTTAAAACGGTCTTAACTAAGGCGATGAAAAAGCTAACTTCATTTATTATTTGCTTACCTTGCTTCTCGATATGGGACCCATTTTCTGTTTGGCGCCAAAGAGAAAAGCAAAAAGTGTAATCAGTGGGACATACGCGCAAATGAGGGACAAATGGGATGGATTGTCGATTTGAAACACTTTCAAAATCTGCAATCGTTAAATCTGGTACATCTAACTGATGACTGGCTGCATTCTCCTCTGAATCGTCTTCATCCTCTTCCATAAGTGTACGGTCATCTTCCATTAAACTCATGCAACTAAAAGGTTTAGGAGCTACACAAAAATGAATTATTGATATAAACGTGAATTATATAAACACATTTCAATATTTACCTGCCCAACTATGGACTAAAGCGCTTATCAAATACGTAAACATCAAAATATCTCTACGACACATGACGATCTGATCTCTTGGAATACGCCCTCTGGGTACCTCTATAATATACTGTTAAGGAGCGTTTTTCGTTTTTTTCCTCGTTCACTGATATGTTAAATTGCGAAAATTCACGATTGCAGCCATTATTATATCTAAATGAGAATGTACATTTATAAATAATATTAAAAATTTTAAATGAAAAACTTGTCTGAAATTTCAATTAATTCAATATAAATTTGTTACATTAAAATGAATCTATTTGTTTTCATTATTGATAATCCATATATTATTCAGGGAAAGATAAGCGTACATTATTGCGTATTAAATGTGAACTTATGAAAAACAAACAAATGATCAATTAAAAAGTTAGAAATTTGCAGACCTAACACAATTAAACTGATCTGTTTATATAAATAAATATATTGAAAGCAAAAGTGCTACCAAACACTACGATTTTTCGCCATTTTAACGATTTTTGCATTCAATTATATCCGCCGAATTATTAAAATAGTGTTGCTAATTAAATGAAACGGAAAATTACTCCATTTTGCGCATTCCGGTGAAGATAAATCGTAGTAAGACATTACAAAAATAAATGGTAAACCAAAATATAAAAACCAGTTATTGCTAAGATTTTATAAAATGTGCTAAAATTCCGGAAAATACGGAAATGTATGAAGTGTGGTTTTCATAAATAGCTTTTCTTCTTTAACCCAAACTAATTTAAATAATGAAATATCTATTGTCCTTCAAGTGATATGGAATCATTATTGTCTTCAAAAAAATTTGTTCTTTTTCTTTGTATGTAACGGACATGTGTGCATGGCGGCGCTACATATTCATGCATAATTACATCGCGCTCGTGCCTAGACTTCTACATTTGATTGAAAGCAGTTATGCGTGTGAAGATGTCTAAGTTTTTCATTTCTCTTCTTCGTCTTATATATTCGAATTGCATTGCATATCTGCTGTGCATCTGGACATGTATGCGGCGCAAAATGTATATTTTATTTGGGAGCAAGCAGACACAACGCACTCTATCTGCACATTTGTATGCATTCATTTTAACAGATACGCTCGCAAAACGGTTTGAAAAGGCTTAAGCAAAGTGCAAAACAAATATACCTTTAAACGAAAGAAATTCGTTTAGAATAGGAAAATTAATACGAATCCACAATAATAAGTATTTTATAGTACTAAGTATATAATAGTACTGTAGGCTTCTTAGACTTTTTAAGGCTCCGGGGTTGTTTTTCTTTCATCGCTTGTTTCTTCTTCACCTTTATTAGTTTCTATTTCTTAGTATATATGGGTGGTGGTTCTATTGCAATTGTCCTCTCACAAACAAACATTACGTTCATTGATTTTTCCAATGATTTTTACGAAATTTTGCAACAATTTTAACCGTTTTGTTTTGTCTTTTTTTTTTCGTTCATTTATATTCGACGCACACAAATCGATTAACAGAGAAAATTTCACTCTAAGCAATTAATTTTTGCACGTATGCAAGTAATGGACTTCAATGGAGTTTTTATTCATTATTTAATTTTCGATTATTAAATTTATATCTTATATTAGTTAAATTACTCACACACATAAATTGAGTAACTGATTGAAAGAAAATTGTTGCTAAAAACGGAAAATTATTATAAAAACGCTTGACTTCCCACTTTTAGTCAATGTTTAAGACGATTTGTTTTGTGTATGTACTGAGAAATTAAAATAAAACACAAAGTTTTGTCTAGAAAGGCCGACCGGCGCCAGTTTCTCTGCTTGCACATAACATTGTTGGATATTAGGGTTGCCATTTCACCTCAATCAAAAATCGCCAATTCAGATAAAGATAATTGTCTTTAATACCAAAATTATTTAAAAAAAAGAAGGAAGTACATCATTTCTGTTAATAATTATTTTTAAATAATTAAAAAGCGACAATTATTATTTTGATTTTTCCAGCGAAAATATCAAATGCCGTATCGAAAATCCAGATGTTTTATTATTCCCAGTTTTCGTTAATATGTCGAAATATATAAATGGTCAATGTTAAGACTTATCGCTTGATCTCAAATTCTGTTCTGATTAGACAAAGACGTTGGTTTGATCGACAATGGTTTTGCAAACCAGCCTCAGCAACCCTTTTCCGAGTTTGTGATGTGTATTTGACTTTCCGAAAATATATCAGCAAAATATATAAAACATAAAAATTTCCCTTTTGCTTGCTTATATTATAATCTCAATGTCACGTGGATCTCGACGAATAGCTTCGTAGTATTTGCTCATAAGCTTTGATTTCTTCGAAGAATGTGCAGCCGAATTTTAAATTTAAATTGCGTCGTTACACCTTTGTCGGAGATGTGACATAGAAGATGATTGCAGCAACATTATTTTATTTAAAGTTATAAATACGCGTTCATTGTCTTGCGATTATTTATTAATAAGTAAATTAATATAAAATTTATTCTGATTGTAGTACTATTCCACTATTCGAAATTATGTCTAATATGTTTTACCAAGCTTTTCTATATACAGGCAATAATGTCCCGTGAACTTGCTTTTAATCATTCATTTACCTGGTTTTACTTAATATATAAGACGCAGAATTTTGTTGGAAATATTTAGATGAGAAAAATGTTGGCCTAACATTACGATTGAAGATGTACAAACAATTTGACTTCACGTATTGTTTATATCAAATTTGCCCTGTATTCGCCTTTTCATATACAAAGTGTGTATAAAGTGCAAAACCTTACGAGAAATTAGATATGATTTTTTGAATTTTTATAAATTTTCATTAAAATTTAAAATATTGTAATCAAGAGATTCCTTCTTCTAATGTTTATGTTTTTGAGGCCCAGTAACTGACTATAATTGAAAGAATAATTTTAACTGGTAATGTAGAAAATCTACGAGATAATCTAAAAACGTTTAAGAAATATTAATTGAAATGTATTTAGTTAAACTAGACAAGCATTTCGCAGCAATAGTTGCACCGTTACGACGATATGGAAGTTTGACATTTCTTGTTTTCCAGTAATATAGCTAACTAGATTTTGATCTAATCATATAGCGATTGTTGGCGAAAAGGACGACATATTCAACACAGTCTGGACTGCGCTGTAAACTTATCCTCTACTTTATATTCTAATTTTAAACCGAAACAATATTTGCTAAATATTTTCATCTACCACATTATTCTACCGCATTGGAATGATTTTCTCTGCGTTATGCTGCTCCTTTAATACCTAAGGAAAAAATTGAACTCATTAATTTTATTTGCGTATATTTTATTATGTTGTAAAAAACGCATACAATAATTTACGAGATTTTCTTCATTTTCATTTCTTGAAAGGAATGGCTGGTAAGACCTTTCCTCTGCATTCACCGAAACCTATACGCAAACCATTGCGTTCGCAATAACCACGAATAATAATTTCGTCACCATCTTCTATGAATTTGCGAGTAAGATTTCCATTGAGTTTGACTGGTTTCGTTCCGCGCCAGCTTAATTCTAGCATGGAACCAAAGGAGTCCTCGGTTTCCCCGCTAATGGTGCCCGATGCCATTAAGTCACCTGGTCTGATATTACATCCGGTAACTGTATGATGAGCGATTTGCTGCATTGCCGTCCAGTACAAATATTTATAATTGGATTTGCATATTAATGTTTCTTCACCATGCTCAGCTAACACAAATAAATAAATTAATCCAATGTTTTCGTTTTTTTTTTTTTTAATTCTTAAGTAATTATAGTATTTTGAACTTACGTTTTAAAGATACCAGCAAATTAATGTCGAAATTGAAGGACTTATCATGCTTTAAATAGGGAAGTACTTGTGGATCCTGAGCATAATTATTAACAATAAATGGCTCCAAAGCTTCTACAGGTATTATCCATGGTGATATGGTTGTGCCTAAATTTTTGGCTGTGAAGGGGCCTAATGGAATATACTCCCACTTCTGTATATCGCGGGCGCTCCAATCGTTCATTATAGTAAAACCGAAGACATTTTTCCATGCTTCTTCAACGGGAACACGTTCACCCAATTTATTACCAGGTCCACCCACAAAAAACGCCATTTCTAATTCAAAGTCGAATAATTTGCAAGCGCCGAATAGGGGAGGCTGGCCGTCTACGGGCAATGTTTGACCCAATGGGCGACGTATTGGTGTGCCGGACACGACAACTGAACTAGCACGGCCATGATAACCGACTGGAATATGACGCCAATTTGGCATTAAAGCATTCTCTTTGCCACGAAACATGATACCGACATTGGTCGCATGATGTATGGAAGAGTAGAAGTCCGTGTAATCACCAATATCCGCAGGCAAATGCATTTCCACCTCCTTTTGGGGTATAATAACTCTTCGAAGTAATGTTAATTCATAATTTAGTTATTATTACGGAGTTATGTACATAATATATATGCATACATACTTTTTAACTAGTGCAGCATCATGTTCTAATTCAGAATTTTTCAACAACAATTCATGAGTTCGTGTCCTTACTGCGTGCCAAGCGTCGTTGCCGAGGCTCATTAACAAGTTCAATGTAGATGATTTCAGCGCGTCCTTTTTAATATAAACGAGGATCGAGGCAAAGCAAAGGAAATGATGAACCGCTTTTTAAGGATTATGGGATCAAAACTACTTTTCATTTACCTGCACTTGTGCTGGATAAAGGTGAGCTACTCCGGATAAGTCCAAAACATTATTGCCAATAGCTACGCATAAACGTTTTCCTGGCTAACGAATACATTTTATAAGCAAACAGCATTAGGTTAAATTATTTCTTTTAAGTTTCGATCTTAGCAACGAGACTAGATTGTCTCAGAATTTACGCTTTTGTTATCACTATCCACACATGTGTAAGAATATTTTATTAATATATGCAAGTATTTACACCTGCATATACACTTTTATAAACCATGTAAAAAAAAAAAAAACTTTATGGGCCCACTTATTAACCAAACCAGTTTGATTACTAGTTTATGTAAATTTCATTCATTCGTTCCCCGATCATATTAATGCTTAAATGTAAATAAACCTGATTGGGGCTTCTTAGCGGCCGCGTAATAAGATGTAACCAAGCGTCCTCTTTGGCCGCTTAGGAACAAAGCACAAAATTTCAACTTCTGCTAAAGGTATCTATTACAGTAAGTGAGAAGTTGTTTGAAATCACGAAACAAGTACGAATATGTTTGTCGTCTCGAAACGATTGAGATGTGAAGGAAAACTCTTTCATCGTCAGCTTTGATAAGATATTTGTTTGCAAGATAAAACAAGAACTCATTTACTCAATACTTATATACCTTCAATTCTGTGTATGTAAAAGTCGGAAGCACCCCCCAAATACGGGCACAGCCTAAAAACAATATTTATTTACAAATGATCTTTTGATCATTGTTGGCGAATTCTTCCCGCAATTTAGCTCGTTTTCATGCATGATACCGAGAGACGTTACACAGGCAACAAATAAGAAAGTTATGTAGCAGTTGCTTTGAAGACAATTTTCCATGGCTACCTTCTCAGATCAATATCTAAAAATTGGAATTTGCGGGTGTATGCCGCTTTATCGATTGAAACTATTTTATGCTAATCGTTTAAATAGCTCCAGGCCACAATAGTAGCAAGTTTGACCCTTTGATTTTGCCATACATAGTTTATTAACTATTGTGGGCATATTTGTAAGTGGGTCGCGTCTATTCTCGCTAAGTAGTTTTAAGCGGTTTTTGTAAATATTCAGTCCAAGTTTTTGATTGAAGGCTATCTATACTTTAACTCTACGCTCTATAACGTATATCTTTAAATATTAGCAGATAGACGGATAGCTATTCATGTTGATCACGAGTTTTTTCAACTTATATTCCAATTCATACTATAAAGTATTTGGATAATGTATTAATATGTAAATTGGAAAGTAAGGATTACATATATATTCGATACATATGAGTATTGTAGAAATGGCGATCATTTAGCGACGATTTCGATAGCGCTTTGCTCATTGGAGACTGAAAAGGAAGCTAATTAAACTATATATTCGGTAAGACAGTGCATTAAAGTATTGTCCCATATTTTGGTAAGTTCACAATTGCAGCTGCCGAATGTCGGAAGAGTTATAAATATCGTGTATGACGAAAGGAATCCCTGGGATTATTTTTAATTGCAAAAAGGCAATAAAAAGTTATATTCGCTTAGAAACCAAACTGGTTTGGCCACTTTCCCGAAACGTATATAAAAAACGTCAAGTATTTTAGTAATTAACGGATCGGCTGAGCAGACGAAAATAACTTAATTGATTTATTATGCTACGCATATGTTTTACAAGATGCGTGTATGGTGCGTCTGTTTCTAAAGTTTACGAACATAATAACTGTTATATTCTCCCCTATTTAAAATTAAAAATTGATAACAATTGGTCTACTGACCAATTCATTTTTTTTTTTTTTTATATATATCTCGCCTAAATTTTTACATATATTCTTGTTAGTGTATGGCTTGATTAAAAACTGAGCAGTCGACTTGAACAGCCACTGTATTATCTTAATGGTTAATCTAAGATTCGTCCGGTAAGAAAATTTAAAAAGGAAAGAAAGTAAAAATAAACAAAATAAAAACTTACATTGCTTTGCGTTGAAAAGACACCATAAGGTAAATTTTGTAAAGGGAAATCACTTCCCTTTGGAACATCGACAAAACTAACGGACATTGTATTATTGTTTTTAAGCGAAAATGATCTTTCTACGTTAAATATTATTTTATGTTTATTAAATAAAATACTTCCCAAGACTATAGCCACAATGGACACAACCAATCTGGAAGCCAGTTGAATTACGACTAAAACAACGACGATGTGGGACTTTATTAAACCATCCAGTTTATCAAGTTAATATAATATCTATCTTATTCTAATAAGAATAGACAAGAGTTGCCGTCTCATTGTGACTGTATATTTATAATATTTAAAACAGGTCGACTATGTTGTATAATGACTCAGTTAGCTAAGAACGTATTGTTTCGTATTTAAACATGAGCGTACATGTTAATATAACATTAGGCAATAATTGTGGCGTACGATTAAGCGCAAATGTTATTTCTTTAAATAAACAAATGGAGTACAGGAGTACAAAACTTAACGCTTATTATGTTACATTAATTAATTAAAAATCAATAATTTAAATTATGTACAACATTTTTACTCATTACGCGGCATGCCACAACTATTCGATTTTCTGCTCGTCTGTGCACTAATCCGTTTGTTGAGAAAATGCTATCATCAAAAAAGTATTGACGAAAGCCGCCAGCACAATCGATCGAAGGGGACACTGCTATGCGTCGCTGAAAGTTAGAAGCGTACTCGCTTGTATTAACTCGCTCGCATTCAGAAATACGCATCCATGACTTATGGATTGGATGGGATTGTATGGCGGGCGTAAGAATTTCAGTCAATGTTGGTATGGTTAGCCTTTTCTGTACTTCTTGTTGATATGCATAAAAGAACATAAACCTCTCCTAACGATCGACAGAAAAGGCGTTGGAAAACTATCGCGACATACTTGAAAACATTTCGCTACAATTTAGAAAATGAGAGCATATATTATATGTAACGTGAACATGTTTGTAATTGCATTTACTAGGAACAGTTTAAAGTTCAAATTAACTACTACAACTACAATTTATAACTTTTTATATATTCACTTACTCTGGAGTATGGATATTATACATTGGTTTAGGAGGTAGCGCATCGAAGCTTCATTGCCTGAAGGTGAATATATAAGTTTCTTAGTCGCTTTAGATTTATATATAAATAATAAGCTTGTAAAGGTAAGAAATGAAACACATTTATATAAGGGTTGGCTTTGTTACAACATTTAACTCACTATATATGTATATATTTATATATATTTTTTATTTATATATATATATATATATATATATATATATATGTATACATATATTTATATATATATATATATTTCTTTCTTCTCGTTTTAATCTTTTGCTTTTTTTATATATAAGATATAATTAATTTCACATAGACCTTTATGTATATATATATGAGCAATGATTGGTGCATTATGTTATTTGTATTGAGAATTGAATTATTTTTTGGTTTTGTTTTTGTTTTATAAATATTTTATTGTGTAGGTACATTAGTTTAATATATACGAGTTTTTCTTTACAAAAACTGCAGATACGCGTTAGTTGTTGTCAAACCAAAGAACAGATCAGATAACATGGAATCGATTTATATAATTTGCCTACACATACTGAATACGCATACATAAATCGTTTAACGGTTATAAGGTTTGTTCGTTTAAGAGTTTTTTATGTACTGCCGCTAACAATTAAATTAAGTAAATATAACAGCATCACTAAATATGTATGGCAGTATGTGTGTACAGATATTTATACATATATATATATATATATACATATATATATATATATATACATATATATATATATATACATGTATACATATATATAAATATATATATATAAATATATATACATATTTGGTAGATAAGTTAAATTAAGCAGACTGTGCATATATGTATGTATGAGATTATTTATTATTTATATATTATATATATTTATAATATTATACATCTTTACGTATATTTCTATAAATATATGTACCGTATTTTCAAAGACATATTTTTAAAAACAAAGAATAATTATAATTAATTTATATTGATGTCGTTATTACATAAGATTTTTTTTACTTCTTGCGTTTGCTTATCTAACATTTGTGCAAATAAACGAATGAACTGAAAAAGTTTAAATTATGAACAATTATTTATTTTTGTATTTAAGATAAACATTTTTTTTTCTTCTTTTTTTTTTGCTAATTACTTATATTAAAAAATTAATGTCTTATGGCGTTTTAATATAAAAAAAAAAAAGAAGGAAAATATTGCCATTTTTTTCTTTAATTATTTATTGTCGCTCACAGCTTGAAAAATATTAATTTTCATTCTTTAGACTTTAATTTTTTTTTTTTTTTTTTTTTTTGTGAAGAAAGTCTAAAACACTGTGTAAGAGTTTTTGTTTTTTTTTTTATTTTTTTGGCTTAAGTGTTAATTATTTACTTAAACATCTTCCAAAAGAATTTGGCAAACTTTTCTTAAAGATTTATTTAACTTTACTTGAAAGCTGCCTTCCACAAAATTTTTCATTATAATTTTTGTTGTTGTTGTTTTTATTTTAATATGCACATTGAGTTAATGTCTTCCAAAAATGTATATTTTGTTTCATTCATTTACTTATAATAGTAATGATAATTGTATTATTTTGTTTTTGTTTTTCTTAAAATTCATTTTTGTTTGTTCAAAAGAACAAAATTTCTGTCTGATTTGTTTTTTATGAAATAAATTCAAATAAAATTGGCATAAAACCTATAAACAACACTAAACTCTCGATTATAAGTTTTTTTAAATTGTTTTTTTTTTTTTTTAATAATTTTAATACATTTTTTTTTATATATTCATTTATAATTTGGTTTTTTTTTCTTTTAATTTGTATAAGCATATATATGCATGTAAATAGGGAAGAAATTGATTGCGTAAGTGTTTGTGTGTTTGTGTGCGGGCGTGTGTGTGTGTGTGTGTGTGTACATGTGCTTGTGTACAATGATGTATGGTATTGTAAACGCGTACATATATATGGTATGTAATAGATTTCCATTTTTTTTCGTTAAATTCTATTAATTGATTTTATTACGTTGCCTTACCGCGCAATAGTTACAAGTTATTTAGTTATAATTTGATATTTGTGAGAATTTTTGTCGTGTATGTAATTTTGTATTCATTTAAAAAGTTATTATTATTATTATTATTATTATTATTGTTATTATTATTATTATTATTATTATGTTATCGTTTGATATGCTGATTCCATATTAATGAACGAAAAAATTTTGAAAGAAAACAAGTAAGAAATTTTCAGACGCCCTAAAGCGAATTCTCAACATCCAACACCATCAGCTTTTCTTTCAGAGTTTTTTTGCTAGTAGCATTCGCATCCAGACTATTTAAGAAAGTTATAGCAAGCATCTGAGTCAGGGTACAGATTGTATTAAGTCAACTTCAACGAGATTTCCGCTTGTAAGCCGCAACGCCTGTTTTTGATCGCGATTTATTTATCTTAACTAATGTAGTGCATGCTTTAAAAAACGGAATAGGCCTAAAACGAGGGATATAGACTTTTTCAATAATTTCGTTAGCGTTCTTTTAAATTGCAACAATACTTCTTGCCTTGTTCAGATTGCTTACACTCCTCACGGTTCAAATACCCAATACCCAATAGTGTAGCTACACTGTAACTACGTGCGTATAAGGATTCTCACTCCATGTTTCAAGTATATGCGACACTCGTCACAAGATTTCATGAAGATTGTGATTTTCAATGAAAAAATTGCTCTGAAGTCCGTGATTGTCGCTTTATAAAACTTCTGACCAGACCTTGCATTCCAAGATACTATCGGTTAAATTACATATGAATTCTGAATGAAAAACAGAACGTGCGCTCGAGATGCCACGGGGTGGAAGCATTACATTACAGCGTACATAACATTTTCACTCCGATTCGATACAAACAGACTAAACATGTAAGTAAGTAACTAAATGATGAATATAATTGAAGAGATTAATGCATTTTTTCAATATTCAATGCTTCAATTATTGACTTGATTTGTTTGTTAGCGCGCAATTTATTCAAAGTATAGTTTTAAAACTAAGTCGGCTTTCTGTCACCAAAAGATAACCAAGAATGTTTATTCAATTTCTTTAAATTTCATAAGCGCAGCCACAGAATTAGTTCATTATTTCGTTTCGGTGTTAGATATTTGTATGAATATATATGTGATTTCGTTTAGGTGAGGATATGTTTTTCTTTTTAATTTGATATTTTTGGTTGTTTTAGATTTTATTTTATTATCATTATTGTTGTTATTATTGTTATTATTATTTTATCAATTTTCTTGGAGTAGAGTTTGAGCATTCAACTAAAGTTATATTAATTTGGCGTTATAGAGGTTTTCTTAGCTTTTTATGATAAATTTCTTATAAAATTTTATCATGAAAATCATATTAAAACCCAAAAATTTCACCTGGAAGCCCTTTAGTGATTTTGCTGTTGTTTGAATGAATTTTCTACTCATCTTGCTTTGGTTTTCTAATTTATTATTATCATTATTATTATTATTTTTACATTTTTTTTTTTTTTTTTTTGGTTTTTTTTTTTTTTTTTTTTTTGAAAATAAAAGTGAAATCTTTTTAATACAAATTCTTTACAGATGTACACATATGCGTGCACGCAAACGAAAACTTGAGCTATAGATGTAGTTGCGCTCGTTACGGAATATTGTATTTGTCACCGTTACTGTTACTGAATTCTTTCTCATCTAAATACAATATAGATTTAAATATTTTGTGATAAAAACATTTATTCGTTTACATTCTTCTACACATGTATATGTATTTATATATATATATACATATATATATATACATATATACATACATATATATATACATATATACATACATATATATATATATTAATAATTTTTGATATTAATTATTGTTTTTGTAACATTGAAATATTTATAAATTAATTATACAAATTAATTGATGCGCATAGGGATTATAGTTAAGTTTGTTGTTTATATTTTTTCTTTCTTTCCTTTTATTTCTTACTGTTGTGTTCTTGTTCTTGTGCTTGTTATTATTATTATTATTATTATTGTTGTTATTATTATTTATTTATTTATTTTTTTTGTTTTTTTCGAAAATGAATGGATTTCTGATTTATTTTGAAAAATAGTTGAAAATTCGCTGGAGATTCAAACATATATTGACAAAAAAGAGGAAAAAGTTTTGAATAAAATTTTATTGATATTTATCGCTTAGTCTTTGAAAAAACTGGATGTGTTGCCAAAGGTTGAAGAGATTTCTTGAGATTTCGTGTTCCTTAATTTAGGCTTAACTCCATCCGACTTAACAAAGTAAATGACGATAAACCATAATTGCACATTAACCCGACATCGCTAGTTTTGCTCAATGCTTTACAATCTCTCCTCCATACCTTAAGAATTTATATTAAATTTTTAAGCAAATATAATAATTATTCCGATCACTGGTCAGTGCAGCAGAGCAAGTTTGAATTCCTGCGTTGTTAATAAGATTTTTGAAATTCTTTCTTGATGCACACCCAGCGGCATAAGTTCATTCCTATTGTAGGCAAAAAGAAAACAAACAGAAGAAAGTTGAAAAATAAAAGTCAAAGATTATTTACATATAATTTTCACAATTGACTTTCTCTCGATGCAATCAAACGAAAAAACATAAAATTTGAAATTTTCCCATATTTTGCGATAACTCGCAGTGCAAACGAACTGACTGGTTATGAAATTATATTAAGGAGTAACTTATCATAATAACTTTCAGTAAATAAGGCTTTTGCAATAAATCCGTGAAATTCTGTGTTACCAGGTAACATAGTTAATGCACAATAGATCTAAGAATCTTTTTATGTATCTACATACACCTACATATGAAATTAAGTGGTAATGAAACGACTTGATAAAATGACAAAAATATTTTCTAAAATACATTGTTATGGTAAGTGCACATTCATAATGATAAAATTTGATGAGGAAATCCGACAAGGACCGACGGACGGATTACGACGTATATGTTCACCATATACAGTCAACTGGTTAAAAGATGAAAATACATTAATTTTTCCAAGCCGTAGGTAGTCAACAGAAATGCGCCGTATGATGCGCATCGAAATCCGAGTTTATACGTTTAGCTATGCTTATTGTTTTGCCGGATTGTTATCTATTTTTGGATTTCTTAACACCGCAACAGAAAGCCGAGTTTTTGGATGTGGTTTTCCTTCAATCACTCTCATGGCAACTAAAACACCATCTTGTTAAGAAATCATTATATCATAACACTTTGCATATTAGACCCCTTTTCCAGATCGATCGTATTAATTGTTGCAGGTGCCGTTCCTCAGCTATGGTTTCATTTGATTGAAATAAATCGGAATGCTACAGCGTTATAGGCTCGTCAAAAGGGGTCGCCATGGATGTGCCGATTTCTCGTCAATATTCTAATGATTTGGGTATTCACTGTTTATTAACGATCATGGTTCAACAACACTGTCCTTCGTATTCGTAGCAGAAACAGTCGCACTTCCCGGATATGGCGTTTATTTTGTTGTTTTTTTTTTTTTTTTTTTGGTAGAGAGGTCAACTTATTCAACTAAGTTGCTCACAGTTTGTGGGGATAACCTATACACATTATTGCATACACTTTAAAGACAATACATTCAGACGGAGACGTGAGACGGAAGCGAGAGTTTATTTAATTTTCCAATATTTATATTTGCTTGCCTTTGAGCCCTTGCCTTTGAATAAGCCAATCCATTAACGTAATATTATGAAGTATTCTATGCATCATTTTTGATAACAGAGTTGCATTTTCGCGGTTACGATTTCGCGTGTGCGATTTCACGATAACAAAAAAATCGCCACTCACGGACGTACCTGTTTCTTCTATAATCAACTTGTCGTCTGACAAGAACAAATGACAGCTTGGCAATGCCATAAGATAATTTCTCGCAATATTCGAAGCGTTCTTGAAGATTTGTACCAAAGAAATCATTCGTAAACACGATAATGTTGCTTTCTTTGAATGTGAATACGACTAGTTGTAGTTCTGCGCGAAGTTCATTAGCTTGGAGCTTCTTCTTTCTTTAATCAATGAAGGTTGTTTTTTTAAATTGTCATCCATTTCTTGGAGTTCTTGCAAAATGCTTTGTATTGGATCGAGTAACTGTACTATGATCATACTTTGGGTTAGAACTGTTTGATAATACAAGCTAAGACACCGTGAGCGTCGGATGAAGACTGTATACTTTCTGGCCTTGGATCGGATTTTTGATGTGAAGTGTGCGAGAAAAATTGAAACTGTGAATATTCAGATCAGCTCTCCCTCTTTACCCCAATTCCTCTCCCGCCAAACCATTTTTTAACTAATATTCGATCAAATGTCCACAAGGGTGGCCGAGTAGGTAAGAACCGCGACTAACAAGTCAGTATTTGGGGGTTCAAATCTCCGTGTGGTAGGGCGCTCGTATCCACAGTGAGTATTCATTCAATAAAGGCATAATGATTCCCAATTGCGCACACATCTACTACGTTGCGGCCATGTCTCTGTATCATTTCCTTTCTTCACTTCTTCTTCTTTCTAGCCGTCACCGTGTTACAGGGGTAGCGGGCATTCCCTGAGTGATTGGTTGAAAAAAAAAAAAAAAATTAAAAAAATTACTTTCTCTGCCTATAAAATTTACATGGTTGTTTGCTGACCTAAAGAATTTAAACGTCCGCCGTCATTTGGCGCTGGGCTTGCTCCGCTATGAAACATATATCTGGGGTCTGTGTGGGACGATAAAGTGATTCGTTGGGAAAAGATATCAATTGCCTACTGTTTCCTCGATACGCAATTTGCTGCGAAACTTTTGAAGCGATATAAGAGTTCATTCGTCAATTTCATGGGGATACAAAAATTTGAGTTTTCAGGAAGAGATTATTTTGCACTTGATTTTCTTAAACTTCTTGCTTGCTTCTGCTGACGTCTTGCAGCTGACGTGAAAATTTGTATATGCGATACGTGCATATAATAAAGGGGTTGATAATAATGAAACAGAAAAGTAAGTTGAGGGAGAGTTCATAAATAGAAATCGCTTTTTATTTAAATAATTTATCAGAAAAGAGATTTTTGTCGATCAATAAATTTTTGTAATTATCGTCCATCTAAAGATTTACGCACGCTATGCGTGCAGTACTAAATGTTTCGCTTGCTTATGACTTCTATAATTTTGTAATTCACGCAATGGTGAGATTTTAAAAAATTTTCGAGATTTTCGAAAAAATTTGATTTTTCTACTTTACAGTACTTACGAATGTGTGGCACAGGGTAGATTAAGTTTGTGCAGATGTATCTAAGGCTCAGAAAGGCTCAGGCCCACCTTTTATTCAAAGTTATATACATTCTGCACCAGTTTAACAATGTCCGTCCCTTTATAGACCCCTTTCGTCTGATGTCTTTTCATGCATTTTTATGTTTAGTCTGCAAGTTGTAACTTTGCAAAAAGCTTTGTTGAATTTAGTTGCACTGTCACGTATTTGCCCAGGAACGCACTATGACCAGCTTCGCTTAATTCCTCGCTTGAAAAAGTGCGTACATGAAAAAAAAACGTAAATTTCGGCGTACTAAATTAATATTAAAAGTTTAGATCGTATTTGCTGAGGTTTTGCACTCCTTCTTATATAACCGTTCCTCCGAAAAGCAAGCCTTTATATCGGAAAACAGATTAAACTGTAATATTTCACAGGGAGAATTTGTTCCTACTAGTAATTTAACATCAAAAATAAATATTTGACCCATGTAGGCCTATTTTGAAGGTCCTATCCCGTATAAGGGTAGTCATGAAAATTAAGACTTTGCATGGCAAAAAAGTTTATAGTTTCGCATATATTTGATATTCGAAAAAAAGGTGAGTTATTATGGTTGGTATGGTTTAAACCATGTCTATTTAGATTTTCGACCCTCTTCAATGTAAGAGCTCCTATGAGAAGTATGCTTTTGGATAGATTTAATTGTTGGTATTTTACCACGACAATAAATGAAGGATTCTAAGAGGCAAAGTGGTATAGAGTGTATTATTATTCGCGGCTTTCGCCGACTTTAATCTTCTTACTTGTTTTATTTACAGCAAAAAGATTGATTTATTATTACTTTCCTACGTTGGCAACATTCACAAATAGCCTGAGGAAGCCCACAAAATATTATATATATATATACGCTTGATGAGCACAAGTCTCTTCATTTGCCTGTCGTATGTTGTAAAAATGTTTACGGCTTACAAAAGGTGAGATGGAAAAATGAAGCTTCACATATATACGCATATGTATATGTTCCAAGGACCAGAAGCTCATCGTAAATTCCGAAATTAGTCTAAAATCCTGGGCAAAGATTTCAAAGTACTATTCAAAAAGACAAGCACAAAAATAGACGGGATCAACTGATGAGGACGAAGAAAAAAACTTGCAACTTCTCACTACTTACAAGGGGAAATGTAGTACGACTTACTATTGCATTTCGCCGATCGATCGAAAGACTAAACGCACTTCCGATTAAAAAAATGCTTTGCAATTATTAATATTACAACAGACACGAAGAAGTTGATAAAATAGTCCCGTTGTATTCTTAGCGTGATATTTATAAGAGGAACCTGGATGCGAATATCAGCTCAAGCAACCTGATAACCTATCTCGTCTCTTAGTGAAACAAGCCCTGCAGCACAGCGATAAAAAATAAACTCTGCATGCGGAGTGACACACTAAGTCAATGTCCCATCAAAATAACAGAAAGAGTTCGCGCTAATATGGTAAACTTTAATGCCATCAAACCATAACACACGGAAAAAATGACGAGCAAGTCTTCTCCTGGAGTGTTGGCAATGGGAAAGAATCGGCAAGTATTAATATTTTGGGCATGAAAATACAAAACGGTGTTTATTGGGCGGGACATGTATTGGTAGTGTCGAGAGATGCAGTCGACGGCCTAGGCTTTTTAAAGCGGTACAAATTATACTTCATTACAGCCCGAATGGGAGATTCTGCAGCAACCAGCGTACTCACTCGGCATAGCGTTTTCTCAATACCACTTGTTTCGATCGATGCAGCATGGCTTGACTGGCAACGCCATGTTGCCAGAAATATTGTAAAATGTTGTAGAAAATGATTGAAAATATTTTGGTTTATTTATATTGAACCAATTTTTCTCAATAAACGTCTTTTTCAGTTCGCATGTGTAAAGGGGACTTCAAACTTTGCTTGGAGCCCTTCTACCGTAAACAAGAAAAAGGCCAGATGCTCATGCGTCCGAAAATGAGATCAAAACTCGATCGTATATATCGTTATATTCAAGGCGAGGTTTCTACAAAAATGTAAGAGACATTTGTCCACCAACTGAGTCCTTTAAGCAGATTATACAGCTTTCTCAGCGTTTCCAGTCACTCCTCCTCCTGTAATTGTATGTATATGGCATAACACACTACCACAAGTCCTCATTTTTGATCGCATTTTCTCTCCTTGAAACAGCCTGCCAGCAATCGTTTTTATCGCCATGACTGATGTCTCCACTTGTAGGTGGCACGTACACAACTACTATACCCTTCTTTCCCATGCCGTCCTATCAATAACCGTTACCGTCGCTATATGTGTAGGGAACATCTCCTGCGTGGTTAGCGTTATACAACAGCAAGGAATATTTATGAAAAGCTTTCAGGCCAATATTTATTTCAGTTAAGTCCTTTTCTCTTATGCAACTCCTATTCTATTACTTTTTCACATAGAATTGTCGTTTTTGTGAGTAAAGGACGCCCCTTTCTATGTTTGACTTGGTAGATCAGATCCCAGAATATATTTGTGTTGATTTCCAGCTTTCCATCTCCATTTTTTCAATTGATTCCCAAACAATTCATGTCGGAGATCATGTACAAGCACAAATTCTTTTAGTTATGGAAGTGTGGCAAATCAAAATTTAAAAAACCAAGTAAGAAAATTGAATTCAGTCGGGATCGAATATTTTATAGCCATCACGGTTTACCCCAAGAGAGACAAAACAAGTAAAAGATCAAAATTCTTATGTTGTATAATGTAGAATGGGCGCAGTTGATATCTTTTATTTACAAAATGAAAGGTTTTGTCGTAGAGGAGTGTAGGTGTGGACGTTGTAGGCGTGTCCTTTGAAAAGTTTTGGAAATTCTTTTGCAAATTTTTAGGCGATATCTTCATTTTCACATTTTTCGCTCCTTTTGAAAAACAGAGGCTTTCTCAGTTTACATGATGCCGTGGGCGTGTGCTACCATCGATTTGCCCATTTTTTTTATTACCAACCTGTTTGCAAGAACTTCCAATGTTTTTGGCAAATTTGAAGTCGATAGCTTTATTTTGCGGCCAGGAGAATATTTACAGACGGACACATTTGAATCGATTTAGGATTTGATGCTGATCAGAAATGTATATACTTTGTGGGATTTCTGATGCTTCCTTCTGAGCGTTGCCAACGTTTTGACAAAAGCAATATACACCTCATCCCTCGGTGATGAGTAAAAAAAATAAAATAGTAGTGCATGATGCCGAACGTGTTAAGAAATGTTTTGCAGCAAAAAACGGGAGAAATTACGCAGACAATGGTTTCTCATTTAATTTGCAAAATGCATTTCCCTGTCAAAGATTTGCTGTTATAGACAGTACAGGAATGCTATTATGTACTTTGGAATGTCAAATGGAGTCCATGATTCATGTTCAACCCAAAATCGCACACACAAACGTAGCACTAAGAAATTAGTTAAATGATAATCAGAAAAGTGGGCCAGATTGCTTTCTATCGAGCGATCATCCTCTCGAGTTCGGGACATTGAAAATTTCTTCGATAACTTGTACGAGATAATAAAATTTTCAAGGAAAATATTAAATCAAATTAAACGATATTTACTTTATTCAAACGAAAACCTTTAAGTATGGCGTTCATCTTGGAATATCTGATTTAGACCACTTTCATAATCGCAGGCATATATAGGCTTTATAAGATCTTTGATAGATAATAAAATTCCTAACTTTACACAAGCAAGCAGTTTTTAATGACCAGACAGTAATAGTGAAGATATTCTCCTTTCGATATAATAAAAAATGAAGTTTAAGGAAAAAAAAAAGGAAACACTTTCAAAGAATTCAGATCGATATATATATTGCAGATCGTAAGCAAGTGACAAAATTATTTCGAAATTTTTAATTAGCTTACGTCATTTGTGTAGTTATTGAATGCTTGCTTAAATGACGTAAATTACTCGTGTTTCCTTAGGTCATATGTTCAATTTTATGTAGATTACATCCGTAAAACTCCTGATATTTGTGGATCAAAGACAAGGGCCGCCGTATTAGATTAGATTAGAAAGGGAATAAATAGCCTTTAAAGCACTGACATGCGTACCTGTTATTCTCTACCCATCTGTTCAATTATCGAAATGGATTTGACGATGATATCTGGCCTGTCGATATGTACTGAAAATTAGGGCAGAGAAGAGCAGACTCGATTAATTTATAAAATCAATGAGATTGGCCCATGACTTTTTCCATAATTAATAAAAATTCAATAATTTTCCTTCTTTTCGCAAATGAAGCCCTCATGATACTGCAGCTTTTAGTATACAATTTTCATTTTAGTCTTAATTTGGTCTTAAATTTTTTCCTTTATAAAATCTTAAGTTAACCGGTCTAATTCGGGTCAAAGATTTATTCGCAAATGCAAAAAAACTGTGTGCAAATGAAGTGGAATATGTGGACAAGAGTTTCAAAGTTTACAAACTTACTTCGAGCGAAATCCTCTGTATCGTAGTATACAAGCACGTAATGTGTAATAAGTAATAAAGTTGAATTTAAAAGTAATGCACCCTATATGGTTTGTGAACCACAAGGGCTCATTACGTTTGTACGGATGTAAACAACATCCAGAAGGATTTGAGGCAGACCCACAATTTGGCTACGATTGTCTGCTCGCCCGTCCGCCTTGCTTTCTTGTATTCACCTTGCAGGCCATAATTTTTGCGATACTTTGGTAAAATTTGGTGCACTGAATGCTGCTAATGCTGCGGGTAACTTTTTCGACCACATCCCATATAACGCTTTATTTTGAAAAATTATTATATGAATAACTGTAGGGGAGCGTAGGATATTTTATGGTGGGCCGCAGCCTCCTATAGTCGTTCTACTTGCTCTAGGTAAGTGCATATTTCTATCACTTGGACAGCGATAATAACTGACGGGCGGAAGGTATGACTAGTGGTATATAAACACCATATTTGTATCGAGTTTCAAAAATTTCTAAACTTAAAACAACTCGCTTCTAGATTTAGATGGTTGTTGGCAATTTGTGTGCGCAAGATGTTATTTCAAAGCTCATTTAGGAAAATTAGTTAACTTCTCGGTTTCTATTTCAAGTTTACAGATGTTGGGAGATAGTGAAGAAAAACCGGCTTTATATGTCCCCATGTGTCAAAATGGTATCATTTATTCGAAAAGACCTTTTAATCTTTATATCTAAAGGAACGAAGAGAGAGAGACAGCGAGAGAGAGAGAGAGAGAGAGAAAGGGAGAACCAATACTGTAATCTACTTTGATGTCCAGAATATCAACTAGCTTTACTAAAGTCATTCTTCTTCGATGTGCTTGAGAGACAGCTTTTGGATTATTCTTAAAGAACTTGCCACACTTGCGTTTTGTATTTCTTATGGGATACATGTACTATGTGAAAAAGCATTAAATTGATTATTTGAAATAATGATTGCAGTAATGATTCTTCCCCCTTCTCTTTTATCAAAAATGTGGCCACATAAGTAGCAGAAATGGCTTAAGCGATCATCAATTCATTAAATCAAAACCGCTTAAGTTTAACTTATAAAGTCATTCGCAGCACTTTGACCAATGGTTTGATTATAAAATCGCTTTGCAGGGGAAAGCACCAAAATGTTTTTTATAAGGTTTAGCAATTTTTATTGCATAGCTAAAATAATATCATTGATCAGACAACTTGTTCGATAGAGATAACTCTGTGCTGCGTCTTTTTTACTTCTAAAATCACCATGATTAGCTTTAAGAAGAGGCTGGAAAAAGAAATCAAAAGCAATCTCGTTCGAATTGCCATAAATATATCGTAAAGTGTGACACACGATTGGTTTTTAATGAGAAACCATAACACTGTTTAGAAAGGCTAAAGAGAATTTAAAATCCATTATATTTGGTTTTTATAGGCTCTTTAAATATGTATATATATGAAGAACTATGCGAAAAACATTCTGCATCGTTTTCTTACTTACTTGATTTACTATTGGACGCATAGCTCTATGATCTAAAGTGTTCGTTTACGAAATGGTTTTCATTTCTCGTAATAGGATTTAAATAAAAAATGATTTGAAATGATTTGATAGCAAAATTGCTATAGAAAGCTAAGTAAATACGTCAACCCAATTCTAAGCGACTTTCGTTGGTCTTCAAACATCGAAACATACTTTAAAGAGCATTAAATAACTTTCAATGAGAAAACAATCACGTGTTATAATACCGCTTCAATTGAAAACAGATTATGATTAAGAGTACATTTGACGTCAAAAAAGTAAAGATAAAAAAAAAAAAAAACGATACCGCTATAGATTTCCCCTAAAAAATACACCACATCTTAGTCCTTTCTTTATCTAATACTTTTGAAAATTCAGCTTTAAAAAGCTTAAGAGCATTGGTTTTTCAAATTTCATCGATCGCTATAAATTTTCATTTTCAAGAAAGTCTCAATCCTTTTTGAAAAAGAATAGGCAGCTCGTCGCGTACCTACACAACTGATATAATTGTACCAGAAGCTTTATAAGGAAAATTTACAATTATATTTATGATTCATTTTCCTTTTCATATCTCTTTCTATAATCAAACTTCAACTTTTTATAGTAATAGTGAAGTATAAAGTTATCACTTACCAAGTTCTCGTCCAGCTGTCTTTCGAAATTGATTTTGAAAACCGCACTTTTAGGAAGATTTTGAAATTTTCCGCGCAAGGAGCGCAAAATGCCGCTCCATAGCCAGCTCTGTAATGAAAATACAAACTTTTTTTTAAACGAGTGCTTAAGCATTTTTTTTATTATATTTGTTATTTAAGTAAATTTTGTAACTAAGTGAAGAATTTTAATTTTGATTTTACTTAATTGATATAATTTTTGTTGTTGTTTTGTTTTTTGTATGCGAACATCTTTTTTCCTAATCACTTTTTTAAAATTTAAAACTATTTTCTCTTGTTAATTATTTATTAGTCACAGAAATTTCTTCACTTAAGACACTTTTTGAAAAAAATTTTTTTTGTTTTTTTCTCAATGTATTTTATATATATTTTCTGTTTGATTTGGTATTTGAGAAAAAGAAAAAAATAAAAAAAAAAAGTAATATGGAATAACTTACCCGCAGAGCTGTTTACACACACCAAACTCCAATCTTGAACTGTACTTGGCTAAGGACAAACAGTGACAGTATATGCTTAAGTTTTCTAATATTTTATTTGTGTTAGAGTTGTCCTAATATCTTACGTAGGCAACTGTGACGTTGCTTACGTTCAACGCATTTTCATTAATCGTAGGAAAAATCATGCGCAATATCAAAAAGATATGTCAGCCAATAGTATGCAAGTACTGTCAACATGTGCATGAAAACGCTACGTAGGAGTAAAAGAGAACGTTAAGTAAGAAACTGATGACGTCAAACAGTTAGTAGTCTATAAAGAGGGAAAATATGGCTGTAAAGGATATAGAAAACGGCTGTAGGTGTTTTGTTTTTCTATTTTAAATATCAAGGAACACACACACACACACATACACATACACATACACACACACACACACACACACACACATACACATTAATATTGGAAAACAATGAAGAATTTTTTTTATAAATTTACACATGCACATGTCCACGCATGTAAGTTAAATTGTACTTGAAATGCAATTATTTAGCGACAATGGCTTCCAATGGGTATCTTGATAATTTGTAGTGTATAGAAATAATTCGCTTGATTCCGTGTTTTTGTTGCTCAATGAATATAGGAATTTCTTTGCAGATCACTGGGTGAATATAAAAGGAATTTACTATGCTTTCAATGACGTATTGTTTCAACGTTTCGCACTACACACAAACATACACACACACACACACACACACACACACACACGTGTATATATATATATGTATATACACAAGGTACATAGGTATGGGTAGGATTTTATTTAAAACTACCATTTCTACGATTTTCATAAACCTTTGGATACATTTAATCCCTGTTCATACCTACTACGCATGCAAATATATAGATATGTATGTATGTATGCTCTTATAGATGAAAACAACACTCTTCCATTAAATTCGGTCAACATTATCTTTATTTACTTCCTTATGGTCCGTTCATTTGCTATAAGAGTTCTTTCCCCTTTTTTCTACTACTTCTACTTTTGCTTATATTTCGTATTCGCAGCATATGCATGTGTTCACATATACTTGTAAATACTTTCAGCAGCTTTCCAAATGTTTCCACAATTATATTAATTGCGCTAGATGGTTGTGTGCGTTCATGCAAATTCATGGCAAGTTTTGCTAAAAAACTTTATATTTTATATATTATTTGGTTGCATTCCGTAACTGTTTGAATATTGAGTAACACTAGTTACTCACTAGTACTCCATTATACTTTGTTTTTCCGCCTATTTAAAAATAGTAGTAACTTTTCATTTCCGAAAGAAAATACTATTTTCGCTTGAAAATCTTAAGTTGGCTAACGCGTTGCCTATAAAAACAACAAACATTTTTGCATATTTAGGTTACAAGGCGTATAATCGATATCTGGGAAAGCAAGGTGCGTGAATGTAATAATAATAACATATAATATACAAACATTTGCACATTTTGCTCCGTCATTCTCTCAACAATTTCCTGCAATAGAATAACAACCGAGTTAAGCAAATAGAAGAAGCTTACGATTGATTTTGAAAAACTTTATAAATCAAAAGAAAGAAGATATCATTTTTTATACAAAAAAAAAAAAAAACGGAAGAGTAGAAGAAAGTGCGGAAAAAAGTTAAAAAAAATCCAAAAAAAATCCAGAGGTACACTCATAGTCCATTTGAATCGAAACTAGAAGCATACCACTAAGACGATTATTAAGGTTAAGCTAATATGATATGAAAATTAATTGAAGAATGTCATCGACAAGACAGGATAAAGGACAACTAGTTCAAGCATATGAACACAGTCCGATAATGAGATTATATTATATTTACTATTTAGAAAGACTCCCCAAGGCAGATCGAATAGCTGACGATTAAGTTTAACTTTACTTGAGTTCGGTAAGTCAGTAGCACTTTTCTATGGAGAAAACAATTAAGACAAGGCTCGAAGTTTCTCCAAAGAATATCGAGTAATAATTAATAATAATAGCAATGAAAATAATAGTTCCTACCCTAACCTCCTTAGAGCGTAAGACGTGACGGGTTTCTGAACAGATGTAATTGGTTCAACACTGCAACTCCAGAAAATCATCTAAAACGGGCGTCACATTTTTCCTGTAAGCTGTCGATCGTTCGGTTCTCTGTCGTTCTGTAGTGAATTGAGAAAGTGCTTAGTAGTGAATGCATGCCTCCTTAAGAATGAAAACTTTTTGCTGCTGCAGACTTTTTGGCCTTATTATCACGGGAATGAGTACTATGTAGCCAAATTTTTTAATCGATTTATAGGAGAGCGCAGTACGATTTCAAGTTAAAGGAGAACAACGTTTTGCCAATATTTGCTACATAAATAGTGAGTTTTGATAACTGATATCGTAATGCTTGTATAGGGAAAATTTTTATTTGATTCTGCGCAAAACCTTTCGTTTGAGGCCCTACCAAAAATGGAAAATCGAAAGCAGCATTTTCGCTATACTTTACTTCTATTGCTAGTGAAAAGGTAAAAATGATTCTCAAGCAAGAAAAAAGTTATTGGATGCATAAGGAGACGATGAATGGATAGAATGCCAATGATAGAATTGGTTCGTGAAGTTTCGTCTCACATCCTCGAAAGACTATTAAGAGATGGTAAAGACAAAATAACGGCATTTATAGAAGCAAATACCCTTATGGTAACTCGCTAGATCACCGGCAACTTAAGTGTTTTAAATACCACTGTTGTTTTGGCCATAACGTGAAATTTTTTTCCGAATTTCCCAATACGTATGCGAAATGTGTTCACAAAATAGGGGTCTTTTTAAATTTCTTGGACTACGAAAGAGCATCGTTCCGGAGTTGTTGAATATCGTCAACGACCATCCAGATTAGTTTGAAAGAGTCATAACTGGCGATGAAGCAAGACAATATGTTTACGAAGTCAAAGTCACACCCTATCGGCCAGGAAAGCCAAAACCAAAAAAAGGAAGCCAAGTTCATTCAAATGTCAAGGTATTTGCGCTATTCGATTACATTAGCATGGCTCGAATTCGAGTGAATTCGTGAATATTGAAGATTCGCTACGAAAGCCTCCGAAAGTCAGTCAGTTGTGTTTTACAATAAATAAAGACACATTGAAAAAGTTTTTAAGTAGGTTAGAGACTGAAATTACACTGTGGAAATCTTTCGAAATATGCGACTTGTCGGTTTATACCCACCACCGAAGAAAGGGCACATATTAGCGTGCGAAGTTCCTGCACACCGGATGGCGTTGAAAATGGGCGAATTCTTGATTTTTCCTCATTGCTGATAAACTACAAAAGTTTGTATATTCGATGGATATGATCTTACAGAACCTGTACGGAAACTAGAAAAAAATTCGACCACGCCCAAAGAGCATGAAAATTGCTTTTTTTCGAATTTTCCCTTTTTTTTTTAAATAAAGGCTATGGGTCCAAACGATTCGGTCATGGTCGAAAATAATTTTCTCATTTCTTGAATTATAGGAGTTTAAACCGATCTCGCTCTGGTGCTCCCTTTCTGTGTATTATTGAGGTTTATAAGTAATAAAGTGAGAAAATTCAAGTAGGAACTGGCGAGGCCGACCATCATTTCGCCTAATACGGCCATTCAATCATTTTCCTGATAATATAGCAAACATTCTATGATATTTATCTTTATATAAAGGCATACCTTTCATGAAAACCTGCTCAAAATTTAAAAAGGTAGGTTTGTCTGTCAAAGGTCTTATTACTTTTTAGTTGCTTCCGTCGTAAAAAACTACAAAGTAAACTTTGTCACCATAGAAGAGCTTGTCGATGAGAGGGAAAGTGTGTCTATCGCAAATGCTTCCGGGTATCGCATACACCACGTGTACCACGAATTATGTACGATATAATAAATGCCGTTAAATTGATTGTAGACGAAGCCCTAATCTTTTCAATTTTTTTTTTTTTTTTTTTTTTTTATGTTTGCCAGTTTTTCAAATTTTCGAGAGGAAAGTGAAATTTAATAGGTATTCTTGGATCTTTGATTCAATATCAAAACGTTTTGAGAATTCATTCACCTCATTTGAACTCAAACAATCAATTTGATATGCATATCAATGCACGAAATGGCTTGAAAAGATCAATTATGTGTAATTATTGCAAGCTATAAAGAGTTACGTAATCTTGCATAACTCATATCACAGCAATATATAGAAATAGACTGTGGAATGAATTTAGGTGATAATAAAAAAGGTTTTTGGATTTCTTCATTCGTTTCTCCTCGTTTACTCGTGCCCATTTTCTTCCTTTACCGCATAGACACATTCACTCTTGATTTTTCATAACAGTTCACTTAACTTGCATACGAATACAAAGTTATATCTTCGATCGTTGCAAAAATGACATTCCAAACTTGATTGCCCCTTATTCGCTATAACTCTTTAGTGTTTGACTAACGCTGATAAATTTTTCTTTTAAAAATGTAATATTTGCGCGAAGATGTATTAAAATATTTAGAGATTTCGAGGCTTTTCGTTCACTGTTTAGCATCATCTTTCATGTTATTGTCTTGAGATGAGCATATACGCTTTATTTGCACTGCAACGAATACGGTAATCCGACCTATAACGCGGTAACCGTATAAAGCGTTTTCATATTACGCGATTTCAGTCCCCCGTATAACACCTGCATTCCCCCATATAACGCGAATATTTCCCACATACATATTTCTGTACTGTGAAATATATAATGATTTTCACGTGTAAAACATTCGTTGATACCAAAAACAGAAAAATGTTTTGATGATTTAGGTTATACGCGTTATATGGGGGAATATATACCGCGCAACCAATCTACCGCGTTATACGGCGGATTACTGTATTTATTTTACTGTTAAAAAATAAAGCGAACAAATTGTAAATTGTTAAGTTCCGTTGCAAAAAAAATTTAATCACATGTACACACTACAGTCCAACCTGTTTTTGTGCGGTAGATAAGGACCGCAGAAAAAAAACCGCACAAAAAAAAATATTCAAAAACTTCATAAATAGCTATAAGAAATCATTTTTCACAGCATATTAAAGAAAATTTTTTTCTCACTTAGAAAATATGTCAAAGCTTCACGAACTAGCAAGAAAGTGCTTTCCAAACATAATAAATAATTAAATTACACATTGAAACATTTAAAAAAATTTTAATTTCTAATTTTAAACAAGCAGAAATTTTCAAGAAGTGCTTAATTCAATACTACTCGTCGTAGTTCAAAACGCGCATATTTTTGCGATGAACTGGTTCGTAATCGCTTTCGTCACTTGAAGATACTACAGTTGATTTATTTTTTGTTAACATGTAGCCGGTGATAAGTTTTTGTGACGACGGTCGTTTGGTCAGCTGTTTGTAAACGTCGCGATAGCCAAATATACACAATCGAAGCTCTTTTTGGAATTTAAAACTTCTTTGAGAATTGTTATCTATTTTAAGAAAATGCTTTTCCAATTTGCTGCAAAGCTGGATCCCTGCATATATTTTATCCGCTGTAATAGATTCCGGTTCTTGTTGTCCGTCTTTATGATTTGTTAAGTTATTGATAATGTCACTATCATTGATCATTGATCACTGATGGCAAAAAAAGTGATGCCAACACAGTTTAGATTGACCTAACCTCTCGGCGAAATTCAATGTGTCGATATTCATATACCGCACAAAAAAATAATCGCACAAAAACAGGTTTGAGTGTATATACTCATCTTAAAGTGATTTTTGTAGGGTAAGAAAAGAAAAGCCGGAAACGCAAAACACTAAGATTTTTGCAAAAACTATATGCTCTAATACTTACTTCAGGGAATCAGTGAAGTTCTATTATTTCACTTTATGCTCTCTCATGTCCAGCCATTAATCAACAGCGGCTATCAATCTATCTTTAAATCCCACTCTTTTAAATTTCATTTCAAACCATCAAGAACAATGCAACGTTACAAGATGACTATAGGTCACTACTTGTCAGTAGAAATGTACTTCATGAAGATTGAAGAGGCCCTGCGACACCCAGTGTAACTGGTTCCCATTTAGATTTAAGAAAAAATAATTTAATATAAACTCCTATATTTAGACAATCACGTAGGGGTTTTTAGAAATATCGACTTTTGTATGATTGAAAAATTTCAATCTTCGACTCAAAAGTGGGCACTCTTTTGTTAATAACTGGAATTTCTGAATTAATTTATCAAAAATATCCTACATGATTATCTAGAGAATATCATTTTCGAGATGTTGCAGAAAATTTGAATGAAGTGTTGCTTTCAAAAATTGTATTTCGAGATAATCGCATTTAAAGTTTTGACGTCCACCATAGACATTTTCTCTTATCACAATCAATTGTTTTTCCTTAGTTTGCAATCCGGCACCATAAGTACACCTTTTCATGTTTATTTATTCTCTTTCAATTTTTCTTTCCTCAGAAATATGTATTTCTATAGCCCAATTCTCAGAACTGATTCCCAAAACTTTTTCCGCCATTTTCAAGTGTCAATATCTTGGGGCGAGCAATGCAAGTTTTGGAGTCACTCTCAGCCCCATATCCACTTAAAGGTCAGCTTGATGATGAAAAATTAACGCAGGTTGAAAGTGCTTTTAAATGACCATACAAGCAGACATTCATCTGACACAGATATTCTTGTCGTAGCAGTTGGAAAAAGAGTTCCAAATTTTATAGAAGAAAAGTTTTTGTGAATAATGCATTTTTTCCCCCATGTATTATAGACGGTTGAAAGTATATATTCAAGCAATAAAGAAAAAGCTTTTTCTGAAAAGCATATAGTGCTGTTACTACTTAATCATTTTACAAAGGCTTAAGAAGGCTCAGGTTGAGGAAGTAACGGTTAAGTCGCCAAAAAAGAAGGCGGAAATATTTTATTGTCTTATCATATCACTTTGTTGTCGATACTTGTTGAGATGTCTGGGTCTCTTTTTCTAGGACCCGGAATTAGACCGGTCACATTCGACTGTCAGGTGATTTAATTTTGGCTTTAGCATGAACTTGACACATTTGCTTACTTGTCACTGCATCTATGTACCTATTAAAGGGATACATATATGTAAATCAAAGAGAGTGCCAATGTGTCCAAGAGTAATGGTTCATTTATTTTTACAAAACGCCTTACTTATATTCAGAAAATCTTAAGATAATTCTTAGCCCTAGTGCACACGTTAGCATAATTTAAATTTGGTCACTAATACCAAAAGTAGTAACAGAAAACTAGATAAGAAAACTATATTCGGACGTGACAAAATCTTTTATACCCATCACTACGATGTTGGAAAAAAGTGAAAGAATAAGAAAAAGAACTAAATTTCCTTATTCTGCAATATTGGGTGGACGCGGCTGATTTTTCCTATTTCATTATAAAAGTGGAAGTTTGTATGGTGTATGGGTTTTGCACTTGATGAGTAGCAAGCAAGCAACATGGACAGCACAAGTGTCCACAATTTTTATTACATAGACCTGTCGGTATTGTAGGCGCGTTCTTTGATAGTTTGGGTCATTTTCAAATTCTTTTGCAAGTTTGTAGACGATGGCTTCATTTTTGCGAAGGGTAGAATGTTTACCACAACTACTATATAGCTAGACAGACGGACAGATAGTCAATAAACGGACGGAAATGCTTAGGTGCATTCCGGGACGTCTGTGCATTATACAAAGGCTTTGACTAAAAAATGTAATAATGATACACCATAAAGTTGACGTGTCCCATTTTAACCACTTTTGTGG